TGCCCTGATGCTGATTGTTTATGGGAAAAATGGTTTTCAATGAAACTTAATCCCCTGGTGTAAAAACAGCTGAGATTTAGGCTTCAGATCGTCCAGTTTAAATGACTAGACAACATTTTTCATCCAGTATGATGCACTTCTGTTTAAGACGAAGATATAATGTATATCAAACCTAGATATTTCAATGTATCATTTGGCCACCACTTTTGTCTGTCAAGTAGCACCATATACGTTATCCCTGTAGTGGAGAGAAAGTAGCAAGTGGACATTAATAAACTTTTAAGGGGAAAGAAAAGCTGACAAACTGAGTTAAAACAGCCTAGTTTCTTAAACAAAAAGAGAACTACTCCAGTAATCTTCAATGTGTATCAACATTTTAATTGCTTAAATTTCAAACAAAAGAACAGGCATCATTTAATTCATTCATGAATGATGAATCAAAGAATTACAAAGTATTCACAAAAATGGTTAAAAAGTTTACATCAAAGCTCTTCAACCTACACCAATAACCTATATTACTCAAACATGCAAGGGTCTGGGGAGAGGGAACTCCCTAAACCAGCCATGGCTTAATGCAGATTTTGCTGTGATCCTCCTCTTGGGGTCATATGTAAAAAGCTTCTGAAGTAAATCCACCCCTAAATTAGATAGAACTGGAAACTTTTGCCTTAACTTATTCTCAGGCTGCTTCGCAAAATTAACCTTGCTGACCCCTGGCAAGTTGGACAAGCCAGGCCAGTTCTTCACTGTAGGGGTCCCAAGCACACTCACCATTGAATTCAATTGATCCATTTCTGATTTCCCTTTGAAAAGCGGTTCCTTCTTTAGCAACTCTGCCATAATACATCCAACCGACCACATGTCAATCTCTTTGGAGTAGTGTTCTGTCCCCAGGAGAAGCTCAGGTGCCCGGTACCACAATGTCACCACCCAGGATGTCTGTGGCTTCCCGTCATTCCTTTCTCTACAAGACAACCCAAAGTCACAAATTTTAAGCTTTCCTTCTTTGTTCAGCAACAAGTTTGAGGTCTTCAGGTCCCTGTGAAGAATCTTATTTTGATGAAGATATGAAACGCCCTCCAACAGCTGCAGCATCAAACCCTTCACCTCTGCAGTGCTTAAACCCTGCTTCCTTGAGTTGATGAATTGATGGACGTCCTGGTCCATGAATTCCATAGCCATAAAGAAATCATCAGCCTCACCCTTTACAACTTCCTTCACATCCAAAACTGAAGGGTGCTGTATGGAGAATAAGATTTCGATCTCCCTCAAAGCCGCTGGAGGCAATCTGCTCTCTCCCTTTCTATGCTTCATCTGCTTCAGTGCCATAACTTGCCCAGTCTTCTTCTCAATGGCTTTATAAACAACACCATACGCGCCTTCATTGATTTTGCGCACTAATTCATATTCAGACAGGCTTCTGCAGCTCTGAAGAGGGTCTCTGCTTCTTCTAGGGATGGCAGCTTTACGCTTCTGATCATTAGAAACGATAACTTCATTCTCAGATATTGGCTTCTTTTTCCGAATTAATGCCTCAGATTTCACAATCTCTCCCCCCTCCAGAACAACTGAAGGCGGCAACTTTGACGATTCCTTAACGATCTCTCTCTCTTCCAGAACAACTAAAGGCGGTAACTTTGATGATTCCTCAACGATCTCTCCCTCTTCAACCTCTGATACCTGCGGCAACAAAAGCAAAGGCAGTGGCTCTATCTTCAGCAGACCCATCAAATCGAATTCTATATCGAGCTTTTTCATTGTCGATTCTGCCGCCACAGAGGGAAAATTAGAGGACCTAAACCCCATTCTCCTCTTCAAAGGAAGCAACTTTTCATCCACTTGGGAAACCCGCGCCCTCTTGGACTCATGATCGGACCCTCTCTCAGGCATTACTCCTCCATCGAATCGAGCCCTCTTCGACTCAGAACAAAACCCTCCACGGCCGCTAATCTCTCTGGCCCTCGAATCAAAACGCCGTTTGGTTTCGTCCCGGTAAAAATCCCTCCGGTAGTTACGACAACCAGAAGAAGAAAGATCACGGTGACTCCCGCTCACCGACCCAAAACAAGAAAAATCCCTTCTCCTGGAGGAGAGTCTCTCCCCCATCATCATGTTGTACAAACCAAGAGAACAGACCAAGTGTTAGGAACAGAAAGAAGGTAGTAATCAGGAAACAGATGACGATCGAAACCCTAAAATCGCCCTTGAATTCACCGACTTCTGCTTTCAATCGAAACCCTAGAGTTGTGGAATACTTGGGAGTGAGGTTACTAAGATAAGAGTGCAGTGAGGGAGGCAATTTAAGTGGCGCCATATAAACGCGGCCTCCAACGGTAAGTAATCGGATTAGCCTAGTTTTGTAATTTTATCCAATTGCATTTCGCCCGCTTAATATTTGTTATTTTATCCAAAAACACTATATTTTAGTATGTTATGTTATGTGAGTTTAGGTAAGGTACATAATTCACTTCAAAATCAAATCCATTGTTTCCCAAATAGGCAACTTGAACATGTTCTAATTATTTATGCTCCAGTTCCCCTTTTAACTTAAAAACTTTACTACTAACAAGTAACAACTTATAAGACTAATGTAAAATTTAAAACTCATACTTAAATTATAAGTTGTTGATTTTTATATTTATTTTTTGGATGAATAAATGGGACATAGTTATAGTCACCAACAATAATGTTACATCACTAACACTATAAAATATTATCGTTAAAAATATTAATTTTGTTTTATTTAATTAATAAAAATGATTAATAACTATAATTATTAATTATTAATTAATAAAATAATTAATATTTATTAGTTAATAAATTAAAATCAATCAACAAATTGACATTTTCAAATACTATTTAAGAAAAAAAATTTAAAATTTTAGTGATCTTAACAATATTAATGGTGACAATAACCACGCCTACAAGATAAATAAAACATCAACCATTGTATAAATAAAAGCTTTACAATTCTGTTCTTTGGGATAAGCAACTTCTATGTGCAAAGCAAAAAGATACATAAAAATCTAGGGGTTGGAAGCTGCATCTTTCTCTTGCTTCGGCTCATGATACATAATCGAGTCCTTACGAACGGTGCAAGAGCAGCACGAGGCCTATCCATCGATGATTCCCGTCCTCGATGTCAGAATGCAAAAGAGGATGTCCTACACTGTTTTCGTGACTATGAAAGCTCAAGAAGAGTGGAGGAAATGGATTGGAGATCACCTTTGGCAACAATGGCAGGGAATGAATTGTGCCGAGTGGATACACCACAACTTGTCTAGAGGAAATGTGAAAATTGAACATGGCTTATCGTGGGACGCTGCTTTTGCTGCCATTTGCTGCTTTATATGGCTAGCTCGGAAGAAGGTGATATTTGAAGGTGATAATGAATGGATCACAGCGAAAGAAGCTATGCTCAGATTTCACCTAGCGGACGCTGCATTCTATTCGAGGAATAATTCTCTCGCCGGAACCATGCGTAGGGAGCAATTCATTGGATGGAAAAGACCTCCAACAGGCTATATCAAGATCAATGTAGATGGCTTAGCTAAAGGAGCCCCTGGATATTCAACAACAGGGGGACTATGTCGAGATTCTACAGCAGAGATTAGTGCTTTGGTTTCACTCAGCAACTAAGCATGGGTTACGCAATACGTGCGGAACTAGTTGCGATTTGGAGAGGCTTGCAACTGGCATGGGATAAAGGGTTCAAGAAAGGCATTATCGAAACGAACTCCCTATGGCAAAACAGATGTTGCAACAGCACTGGGATACCGTTAACTCCGCTCATTCTTATGCCGAAGATCTGTGGAATTGATATCCTTTGGGGTTGGAATTGTGAGCTACCACATCTTTTCGTGAAGCAAATTATTGTGAAGATGTAGAGATGTCATGACTTGATCCTTTTATAACTTGGAGATAAAGCTACATTATTCTGAAAAACCTCTAGCTAGATATAGTTAGAGCTACACTCAGTGATGATCTAGTAAGAGCGTGTAAGCCTAAGGCTTTTTATTTTTTCAGTGCACGAGGCACTTCCCCATGTTCCACAAGAAAAAAAATAAAATTACAGAAAACGCTGCCACTGGCTTTAGGATTTAGGCCCCTATTTTGTCATGCATAACGAATTACTGAATTAGAAACGTAATTGCATTGAAGAG